GCGCAAATTTGCGCGAAAAACTGCGATGGATCACAGGAGTTGGAAGTGCCCGATGAATACTGCGAGGTGTTGTTTAATCCTGCTGCGAATTCTGCTTGGCAGTAAAGATTGGAAGACGAATGTTTGTGGTTCTACTTGTTTCATGTTCAATGTCTATTAGTTCATTGAAATGCTCTTGAATCGTTCCTATTTTTTTCAGGAATCAAACCAAACCAATCACAAAAATTGCAAGTGCCCCATTTGAACAATTGAAACACTGGATATGAAACAAGTGGAATCATGAGCAGTCTCCATTAAACCATAACCATCAAGCAGAAGTGACGGCGGGATTGGAGAACACCTTGCAGTATGGATGGGGCACTTGTGATTTCCGTGACCCGTCGCGCAAATCGCGAAAATCGCGCAAAGGATCGCGGACTCTGAATCAGCCTAATGTTGCTGCCCATAGGATACTTGTCCGAGCTGTAATGCGTAATGTCTAGTCTTCAGTGATTTCGCTCGTTGTAGAAAGTGTGGATAGGGTCACATTTTTTAAAGGATCGATATGGCTACTTCTGTCCTATCATATGCTAGAGTTGCACGTGTTTTGTTTTGGGTGCTCGTGGGATGCTGCAAAATTAAAAGACGTTTCCTTTGCCAACTAGGCTTGCTACCGCTATATTCTTTTTCAGAACTAAAAAGCTTCTTACTCGATCCAATCTTTCACAGGGTCAATTTCGCGGTTTGGTCTGCCTAGGGGAGGGTTACACGGGGAATCGATTGTTGGAACTCCCCTAGGTGTCTTATAGCTTTCTTAGGGTCGGATCATATTTCTGCTGTCCGAGTGAAGGGTTGCTACGTATCGACCATGCGATCACACGATCGTATGCGTGATCGATATCGGAAACAACATTTTCAATCGCGGCGTGCTTCCTTCTTAAGAGCTTAGTCCTGGTACTTTTAGAGACGAGTAAGTCGTATCGTTCATGTGGTCGCGCGATGGATGCATAGTTCTCCACACTCGACCTGCAAAACTAACTGCTGCGCTTGACCCGACCTCATACGCAAAAAATTCGAGGTGGGCCCTCTGAAGTGCACCACGCATCAGACTTCCATTTTGAATCTCATAGGGTATCATCACGTAGCCCCACATATTGCCTTTCCGATCCTACGCGAATTTATCGTGGACCTGCCGATGTTCATACATTTTTGTATTAACTTGTTCCTGAAGATGAAAGGCTTTGACAAATGATGAATGTGTGAAGTTTTGTTTTGGTTGTTTGGTTTATTTGGTTGTTTTATGTAAGCAATTGACAGGAAATATGGAGCAACACTGACTATATTGAAATGGCTGAAAGACTATCATCATGTTTTCGTTATCATCATTATTTTCATTCTGGGTTCACAGGAAGCGGTGTCTGTGTATTCAGTCGTTATCCTATAGTCTCAACGCTTACTCATAGGTGATATACCTCTTTTTCATTTTTAATGTGGATCTTTCAGCAATACAGAAGTATTTATAGTTTCTTATATGTAAGCTAGTAGCAGGACTTCTGGGAAAAGACGGAAGCAAATTATCTGTAGTCAGTATTTTGAGATTTTTTGCTCGTAGTGTTAAGAAAGAAGCTTGTTGAACATTATGTAGGCACTACGTCAACGAAAATCAATTCCAGGTACTCGTTGAATGGTTTTGCTCATCACATCCATCGTGGAGATTGGTTCGGTGGTAAGGTTGGTAACTACCATACATTTTTAGTGATTTTTTTTTCGTCGCTAAGCTTCATTTCATGAAGGTGGTTGGCTTGGTTGAAATAGAGATTGGTGAAATTCGAGTTAACTTTTACGCAACACATCTTCATGCTGAGTATAACCGTGAAAATGATCTTTATCTTCCCCATAGGTGAGTTGTAATCATAGTCCTGTGGTTCCTCCTAGAATTGCTTTACCCGTTTAAGGACGTTCGCAGTCATTTGAACTGAGTCAGTTTGTTCGTCACACTGCCCATGGTGCCGATGTTGTTATTGTAGTTGGAGATTTCAATATGGAGCCGGAAGATCTGGGGTTCAGGTATTATAGATTCAAGATCATGCTAGTTAAACAGTTATAAGATCAGCCACACAGGGCTAATCCATATTTGGGCAAAATACTCTTTTATTTGGCGCGCGCGCCGCGCTGAAAAAAAAGAGGTCGTTAAATTTCTCTCTCGTTCATAGAAGCGAAGAAGCTGCGTATTAGGAAAGTGTGGGGAAGTATCCAGAGCAGGGTATGGGGTAAAGCCTATTTTGCTAAGACTAAGGACTCAGGAGCCCAACTCCAATTGCATTGACGGCCTTTGTAGTGACTATTTTTTAGTGCTCTGTACCGTATTATGAGTTGGTCCGGCGGGAATGTGTGCCCACGCCTTGATGTGACTGTGACTGTAGTCCTCACAAGTTCTTTCTTCTTGGTAGCGTTAATGTTAATGTGCGTTGAAAAACCTAGGCAGAAACATTTTGAGCCTCTCACGCCTGAAAGTGTTGGCGTATATGTGTGGAAAGCGGAAGAGAGCGTAATGGTTTGAGAGCGTCTTCATCAAGACAATGCCGCTGAAGAATGTTCTGGATGTCTTTAGGCCGAGTTTAAGCGAGCGTAATTTGGCTGACGAGCTATAGACCATAAGTGTGGTTATAATAGTGTTTATTAATTACCATCGAGCTTCAGACGTATCTTGAGATGGAAATAACGCAATAGACCGAAAATTGAGCCTAATCGTATGTGTATGATGAGACATTCCTCTTATTTTCCACTTAACCCTCTTTAAGGTTAATTCTTTCGCAAGTTCGCCTGCTAGATGCCTGGAGGCTTGCTCATCCTGTCGCGAAATCCCTGATGCGGACAGCGCAGCGCGTCAGTTTCGTCGTTAAGTCAGTGTCGCGGCGTTGCGCATGGTGGAACATGTGATCGTCCTGATAATTGCTATACCGAGCAGAAATTTAGAGAGAACGTGAGTGTTGTATGTATGACAGTTTCTCTAGAAAATATTTTCACACTTGTTTCAGGATGAAAGCAAACGAATTGATTATATTCTGTTCAAGGGCCATGTTCAATATGCCTGTCTCATTAAATGACAGTGCGACCATATGCAATGAATAAAGGGTGTGTGCTGCCCCGACAAATGTTTTCTGCTTATTTTTTAAATTCGCTTCTCTTGTGAATTTTTGAAATTTTCGAGCACAATTCTTCGTCCGTTTGCTTCCAGCCCTTCCGCCGTCTCTTTTTTATTTATTTATTTTTTTTTGTTAAGTTATGCCTGTAGTTCCTAGATTGTACATGGGGATGAACTCTGGAGTGCGTCTGTGAGTGTTGAGTAAATTAGGGTGTTCCAGATTCCTGATGAAAACCTCAACTATTCTGATCATGTAGGTGTACAGGCTACTTTCAAGATTGCAAGTGGCGAGCGTGAGGTGAGTAGTGTTATATTAGTTTGCTAGTACCCTTGTACCTTGGACTCGGTAAGCGCAGGATAATTGGTATTTGGGATGTACATTTCCGCATTATGCTGTTTCTGTATGAGAGAAAGGGTGGTTGTTCTGGTTATAATGTAAAAAGCCCAAGGGAGATTTTCTCCATACTGGGTAGAACCTTTGTTTGATGAAAATTTTTTTTTTTCGAGATATTCTAAAAACTTTTGATTTTATAGTGCTTGTTTGTGGTAGCGACGGCCGAAATTATTTTCTGGGCTCCCAAGTAGGAATGGAAGACGCAACCCACGCGGCAGCTACGAAAAAGCGTTGCCCCTTGCATGCCGGATGTAACGGCCGTCGTGCCGTATCGATCCATTGCCTGATAAGTAAATGGCTTGGGGAGAAAGAAATAGATGAAATGTTTGGGAAACGTGTTCGTCGTTGTGATTTAATGCTATTTTCCTGCCAGCTGAAAATGGAAATGAAATTCTCGACTGGAACTCTCTCACCTTTAGTCATGTCGATTTACCAACAAATGGGGCATATTATCTGTTTGAATTAGGGATCAGAAGTTTCAAAACCAATACGCTTCCAAATTCAGGGATGTGTAAGAATTAACCTTATTGGTAATCAGCATGGATGCCCACCTGATAGATAGAGCCCAGTTTTGGAAGGTTTTGTATTTCTCACGAAACTGAACAGTTTTGCGACTTTGTATTTACCATACTGAGAAGATTAGTGAAATGTTTCGATAGATTAAATTTGAAATCTTTCAGTTGGCATGCGAATGGGAGCCGAATCGGCCATTGCTCATTGAGGCGATAGGAATGGTATCGGCGGGTGGGACAGCGGCGAGCACGGTGCCGACCGAACGGGCTTGGTGCGTGTAGCTCTGGTCGGTGCGTGCAATATTCGATATTGTTACATAATTCTTATCTCTATTCGCGCTGGGGATAACATCTTCCCATTCTTTCTTTAGGCCTCCTTTCAGTGTTTAGTGTCAGGTTTAATTGGCTTTGTTCCAGTGCAGGACTAAATGTTCGTGGTGTTCGACTGCAATTGATATCTGAAAGTGCAACCTCGCACTGTGGCTGAAAAAGCGCTCGGTTGACGTCCAAGTTGGCAACTTCTGTTACTATTCCGAAGGAGGGAAGGCTCTGATCCTCAGACTGGGGTAGTTGGGGCACTTTTTATAGTTGGTTGCCCGATCGTGACGATACGTTTCGATCATCTAATCGGACGTGTCGGACGATTGGATTATCACCATGTATTCAAAGCTGTTCGATCGTAATTTGACAACTGACCTTACTCTGGCGGTGTGAGAAACGGCTGTAATACGATATACTGAGAAGCCATTTCGTCATAAACATTCCACTGGTTCCCCTTTATTTTATTCCTCGTCCCTGAATAGCTCCATGAATTCTCTTATTTAATTTGACAATATAGTTTTTTTTAGGTTCACTTTGACGGTTGTGATGGCTTTCTGCTTATGGTACGGCGTAATAGGACTCACATTGGAGAGGAAAGCTTTGAAAGCTGCCAAACAATCCATGCGACAGCTACTTAACGATTAGCAATACTAGTGTCTTAATTCCTTTACAACTGCCCCAATAGGTACGTAGGAACTCGATGAAGTAATA